ATCACTGACCCTGTCTGTTCTCCACAGTCCAGAGGATTGTGGGGAGGGGGGAGTTTGCACCGTCGTCACTGACCCTGTCTGTTCTCCCCAGTCCAGAGGATTGTGGGGAGCGGGGAGTTTGCACCGTCATCACTGACCCTGCCTGTTCTCCCCAGTCCAGGGGATTGTGGGAAGCGGGGAGTTTGCACTGTCGTCACTGACCCTGTCTGTTCTCCCCAGTCCAGAGGATTGTGGGGAGCGGGGAGTTTGCACCGTCGTCACTGATCCTGTCTGTTCTCCCCAGTCCAGAGGATTGTGGGGAGCAGGGAGTTTGCCATATTTTAGTGGGGCTGGGACTGCTCCAAGGCTCAGCAGAGTGGCAGGAGAAACCCCTTCACCCCTGACCCAAATAGGGAATGCCTTCCGCTTGGAACTGAACAGAAGCCCAGGGAGATTTGCTCCACACACACACACACAACCACACACCGTGGGACTGGCGAGGGCCTTTCTGCCTCCTTGGGGTGGGCCTGTGAATCATTTGCTTAGAATACGAATTGGATGAGGAAAGAGTCTTTCAGCTGAGCCCATCAGTGCACTCATGGCTTCTTTTTGGGCTCCCCTGTAGCCATTCCTCCCGCAAGTTAACCTCTCCGGGGGGTGGGGAAGGCACAGTGGGGCAGGAGCCTTCTGTATCGGCGAGAGGAGGAAGAGCAGAACGTCACCCACTCGGGGGCCGTGCCATGAATGCTGCCCCTCTGAATCCGCCGCGGTGAGGCCCGCTCAGTTCCACATGGCAAAAACGGGGGGGGGACCCAACATGGCGGCTCCCCTTTAGCGCCTGTCTAGCTGGTTTGCTTGCCCCCCACCCCGGCCCTTTCTAAAGCGTCTGAGCTGAGTGTGCCAGCAGGGGCTGCGGACTGGCATCAGCAGGCAGTGGGGTGAGTGAGCCACACGGAGGAGGACGCATCGGTAGAGACCAGCCTGCCAACTCGCCATTATCTTCATGATCACAGAATCCGTGCAGGTGCCAAACAGCCTCTGAGGCTTGCTCAAATCTGCTCTCCCCCCTCCCCGCAACCTGTTTTATGGCCTCCCGAGTGCCAGCATGGGCAGAAGAAGTGTGTGGGGGGGGGGAGCGGGCCCTTGTCGTTTGTCCACAGGGCAAGTAAAATATCTGAAACGGACATTTTAAAGTGGTGTTATCTCCGCAACTCACTCGGTCTTTGGACACCAGTTCCGCAAGTGGCTGGAGAGATAACTGAATTTCAGGACAGTTTCTGCATAGCTTGACATTTTTTGAACTCCACACACAAAAAATGGACTTTTAAATGGGCGCATTTGCATAATTAAATCAAACAAATCTGAGCATCTTGGAGTGGGATCCTCGCATTGGCATGGCAACCACCACCAGATCAGAAGGTACGTCACTTGCAGCCACAGCCCACGATATTTGGGGATCCTACTGTTTGCTCGGTGTATTCTTTCTCAGATACGCCCCATGACACACTCCCCGCAGTTCCAAAACGGACTCTGTGGGTAGTCCACAGCTGATTTACTGCTGCTCGTTGCAAGAACATTTGGGGCTCCTGTTGCACGTCTTGTTCAACGTTCTGACGGAGGGACAGGAGGAGAAATTAATGCAAATCTCAGTTGCTGTGGCGTGCCCCCTGCCCAAATCCAACAGTAGTTATTTACAAACCTGCAGCCTATTTGGGTCCGTTAGCCACTGCAACAATGATACTGTCTTTGCTTCGGGAATGGAAACGCAACAGATTTCCGTGCCCAGAACCAAAGGTTTTATGTATGTAGGATGCTGCTGCTCTTTCACACATGTAGAGTGCGCACCTGTTAATGTCGGAGAAGGCCCTGTTTGAACATTGGGAGCTTGTGCCATTGCTGGCGACACGCAATTTTTGTTTCTGCGTTTTGTCCACTGCTCGGTTTGTGACCAGTGTTCCCTCTAAGCTGAGTTAGTGTGAGCTAGCTCACAGTTTTTTAGCCTCCGGCTCACACATTTTTGTTTTAGCTCAGGAAGGATGGCTCCCGAGCAAACTAATTTATGCAGTAGCCAAATGGCTCACTCACAACTTGAATGCCGGTAGCTCTTTGCTCACAAGACTCCACAGCTTAGAGGGAACATTGTTTGTGACGTGGTTCTTTCACTTGCGTAGCAGCCGTAGAGGGTGTTCGTCGCTTAAATAATAAATGAACTGTAATGAAGAGGTGGGCCCATGGAATTACAAAATTGTTTAATTCAGCAGTGGTCTTAGGAGGCATTTTTGCACATATACACACACCATTATATCTCCTGTTACTAATGATACGTAGAAAAAGAGGCTGGAGGACAGAAATATCCTTCTGGGAATTGGCTGCCCTGAGCAGCTGCCTCCCATTGCTTCAGGATGAGGCCAGCTCATTGTCCTGACCAGGTATGCAAATATTGACAAAGTAAATGGGGAAAGGGAGGCCCCTCCTGCTATCTGCAAGGTTGGGGGGGGGGAGCGTGCTGCCCAGGAAGCTTATCGGTCCCGTGGTTTCGATCCGTGCCTTCGTATGTGTTTGTCCCGAGCAGTTGCTGTCCCAGCACGGTTGCATGCCCAAGCAGGGACCAACCACAGGATAAAGTCAGGCCCCCCCCAAAGTTACAACTATCTGCCTCTTTGAGCCTCTTACTTCTGTTGAGGGGGTGGGGGAGCAGCGCTGACTTCGGTTGTGAGAAGAGGGACTGTGCAAACCAGTGCAAGAGCCCCTTTTGTTTTCCCACATGCCATTGACTAACTTGTCCCCTTTTTTACTTCCAGAGCGGTGCGTGTTATATAGGACACCTGCAAAAGACAATGATGGCCTTGGGACTGCACTGAAGACAGACCTGGTTCCATCCAAAACTTTTTGTGTGTGTGTTTCAGGATTATTACTCCGTCGCTTGGTTGTTTTCCCACAGCGAACAGGGCTTGTTCTGTTATTGGGTCTCTTGCTTTTGTTTTTAAAAAAAGATGTCTGATCCCGGCTCACATCAGTCCCCTGGTATCAAGCCGGGCTTACTGGGGAAAAACAGCAGCCCAAATGACTCTCAGCCCTCGGCCAATTCGGAAAGGAGGAATAAAAGTGGGATCATCAGCGAACCTTTGAACAAAAGTCTTAAGAAGTCCCGCCCGCTTTCCCACTACTCCACGTTCGGCAGCACCAGCTCGTTAAGCGAACATTCCGAGAAAGGTGCGCCCATAGCCAATGGCAACGAAGCCGCTCTGGATAAAAGCAACTCTACCTCAAAGCACAAAAACATCTCCGACCTGCTGAGCAAATCAGATCTTTCTTCAGAGGGACAGAGCATCTTGCAGCAGTTCGCCCAGTCGACGGAGCTGCTCAAACGAGTCGTCCAGGAGCACATTCCCCTGCCTAATGACCACGGGACGGGCATCTCCGACATGGAGGCGGTTTCGGCGGCAGAGGCGATGAACAGCCCGTCTGATTTTCCTTACCTGGGGGCTTTTCCGATCAACCCCGGCCTTTTCATAATGACCCCTGCTGGCGTGTTTCTGGCGGAGAGCGCGCTCCATATGGCTGGCTTAGCAGAGTACCCAATGCAGAACGAGTTGGCGTCTGCCATCAATTCAGGGAAAAAGAAGCGGAAACGGTGTGGCATGTGCCCTCCGTGCAGAAGACGGATAAACTGTGAGCAGTGCAGCAGCTGTAGGAACCGTAAAACTGGGCACCAGATTTGCAAATTCCGAAAATGTGAGGAACTTAAAAAGAAGCCTTCTGCTGCACTGGAGGTAATTGGGTTTGGTCAAGCAGCTTTCTAGGTCTCTCTCTGCAGCTGTGTATGGAACCAGAAACCCCACTGATGAGAATTGGAAGTGGAGTGGCTGGGGGTTTGTAGCTGTTAGCAGTTCTTACCTTTTGATATTGCACATACCCATCTAGTCTTCTCACCTGTTGCACATGCCGGCTATTCTGACTGGTAACCAGAAGGAAAACGGTCTCGGGGGGGGGGAAGGGGGCTTTATTGGGACGGCTAAGGGAGTTCTCTCTCCATCCTTTGCAGGACCTCTCTTCAGTCGTTTGAGTCTTAGGCCTGGTTCTTACAACCAGTGGATGAGGTTGGTGAGAACCACATCAGACTGTAGGTGGCTGGGGTGTGTATGTCACATGATGGAATGCTCCTACACATAAATAATACCCCCCCCCCCGATGAAGAAAATAGCATATCAGGGCAAAGGGCTCTAGCCTAGCTCTTTCCTGAAAATGCTCTATTTTTATATAGTACCAAACAATATTTAGTACTTAGTGCTGAGAGGGCGAGGAGCACTTCACATACATCAGATTATTATTATTATTATTATTATTATTAATAATAATAATAATAATAGCTCTTGCTGGCTGTAGATATTATTCGCCCAGCAGAGTGTAACGCAAACAAGTAGTAACTCATACAACCAGGGCTAGTTTTGGGCAGGAACGCACAGGAACGGAGTTCCGGCTGGCTCCCAAGTTGGCCACACCCAGCAGGAACTCATTAGCATAATAGGCCACACCCAACAGCAAAAACTCATTAGGATTGGCTACATTAGGGGTGTGTGGCCTCACATGCAAAGGAGTTCTTGCTACAAAAAAGCCCTGGGTAAACAGAATAAGAAGCAAAAGGTGGGTGTGGCTGGATGAGCACACTTCTGGTAACACGGGGGTGTGACCTAATACGCCAATGAGTTGTGCTGTCAGGGGTGTGGCCTAATATGCCAATTGGTTTTCTGCTGTTGGGTGTGGCCTATTATGCTAATGAGTTCCTGCTGGGCTTTTTCTACCAAAAAAGCCCTGCATACAACAATCCATACAACAATCCCTTTTCTACCATCTCTCCCGTTTCGGCCTCCTCTTTACCCCGCCTAGGAGGCGGTCACATCGTCCAGAATGGGTTTTAAACACAGATCAGAAACACCACCTGAGATGATTTTTAAGAATGTCAGAAATGTTATTTATGGATATTAACTTCTCTTGTTTGATGTTTTTAACTTTTGTTGCACATCGCCCAGAGCCCTGTCTCTACAGGGATTGGGTGGGTCATAAATCAAAAATATAAATAAATAAATAAATAAATAAATAAAGATAGGTCGATATTATTATTGCAGATTGGGGGGGGGCGAGTAAGTGGGTTTGCCTGAGGTCAGCCAGTGAGTTTATAGCTGTGGTCATTACAATCTGAGCTGGAGAGCTTCCTGACCCATAGCTCATTCTCTTTGCCACGGTGATGCACCAGGGCGTTATGTCTAGGAGTGCTCTCTCCCCTGCCAAGGCCCGTAGCTACAGTGGGGCACCTCGGGGCCCGGCCACCCAACTTACTACCCAGCCCCCCCATCCTCCCATCCAGCCCAGGCCCCCCAACTTCCATTTTTTAATTTTATTTGTGGTGCCCCCTGACTTATTTAAAGCCCCCCCGAATTTAAAAACCCTGGCCACGGGCCTGCCCTCACGTCATGTGATGTCATGTGACAGTCCACCTGCAGTCTGAAGTGGCACAGTCCATACGCAGATTTCGCACCTTATCTCGTCTTTGTAAGAACTGGGCTTTAATGCTCATGCCTTTTATAACCCTGGGAGAGAAAAAGGCTCTCCTGACTAGACAGTCAGTTCTTAGGGGTGGCAGCCACCTGGAGAATCTCTCGCTATTACAGTTGATCTCCAGGCAAGGAAGATTGGTTCCCCTGGAGAAAATGGCTGCTTTTGGAGGGTGGGCTTTATGGCAATCGTACCCGGCACAGGCCCCTCCCCTCCCCAAACCCCACCCTCCCCAGACTCTACCCCCGGAATCTCCAGGTATTTCCCAACCCAGAGCTGGCAACCCGATCAATTGGCACTTCTAGCGAGTGAAGCTCATTTATTTTGAAATGTTTAAAACGTATCCGTCTCCTTTCCAAGTTGATTTTCAGCTTGATGTAGGAGGCAACACTGAGTATGAGGAATCCAACACAACTGCAGCTGGCCTCTCCCCAAATCACACGGGAATGCTGCGTGGACCATTCTGGTGATATCCACAGATCAGTGTACAAAGTCTGGCCTTTTAGGCTTAAGCACCTGAATACGGGAGGTCGCCGCTCCGACTAGCCCTGTACACAATTTGCTATGAGCGCACCTAAGTCCATGTCCAGTGCAACACTTATGTGCTGAGCCGTTCTCATGTTGCAGTCAACACACATGACAGCTGAATGTGTGATTTAAACTCCCCCTTTAAGGACGGGTGGTCCCTGGTTTCGTTTATAAAGTGAGCACACATTGCCAGTTTTTTCACTGACAACTGTGTACGCATGTGTTGCGTTCACTGTGACGTACAGAGGACTGCTCTCTGCTGCAAGTGGGGGTGTCAAGTGGGGACATGTAAGACTTTAAAGCTAATGATGTTGGAGATTGAACCTTGTGCATGCAACGCAAAGTGCCGTGTCGTTCAGGCATCAGCCTCCCTTTTGTTCAACCCACAGATGTAGGCGAATAAGCGTGTCAGCAGGGCTATTTTTGGGCAGGAACGCACAGGAACGGAGTTCCGGCTGGCTCCTGAGTTGACCACACCCAGCAGGAACTCATTAGCATAATAGGCCACACCCAGCAGCAGAAACTCATTAGGATTGGCTACATTAGGGGTGTGTGGCCTAACATGCAAAGGAGTCCCAGCTACAAAGAAAGGCCCTGGGTTTTGACAACAAATAAGGTAAACAGAATAAGAAGCAAAAGGTGGGTGTGGCTGGATGACCACACTTTTGGCAACATGGGGCTGCGACCTAATATGCTAATGAGCTGTGGTGACAGGGTGTGGCCTAATATGCTAATAAGTTTCAGCTGTTGGATGTGGCCTGTTATGCTAATGAGTTCCTGCTGGGCTTTTTCTACAAAAAAAGCCCTGCGTGTCAGTATATTCCTGGGCATTATAGCATAATTCTCACGATGCTCGTTAAGTTCTCCGGATTCCAACTTTTTGTTGAGAAGTAGATTTGTGGAAAGCGCAGTACGTTTTTTTTTTAAAAAAAAGAGCGTGACCCATGTCAAGATGTTAAGTATTGTGAGGGGGGGGGGTTATTGCCAGGAAGCATCCTCAGATCCTCTTTGCAGACCTCGGCCAGTTTCGACTCTGCCCAGCAGCTGAGTTTCTTGGAAGATCAGCCTCTATAACCTTTTCCCGGAGCAAATGCTTCTTGTTAGTGGGTTTTGACTTTGGAAAGGCTGCTGAAGTCTGCCCTAGGAAAGTGTAACCACATCTCTTCCTGGGAATTTGGATGGGTTGTTACTAAAAACAGGATGGCGATTATGCTAGGCAGGATTTCAAGAGGAAAGATGGGAGCTGAGGAATCGGATACCTCTGAAATGCCTGCGGAACAGATTAAGGACAGAAATGCTGCCGGTAGATCAATTACTAAAAAGTTAAGGACGTTTATATTAGCTCTACAGTGCCTGGTGAATTTTTATGCCATTCCCTAGATGTTCAGGCAAGTAAACCAGGCTTTCTGAACAGCAGTTTTGGTGCTGTCCTTCTAGTCCCTAGGGCCCCATGGAGGTCCTGGCATGCTTTGAACATCAGATTTATGGGGTGGAGTGGGAAGTGGTTCACCTGCTTCCCCCCCCCCCACCCTTTAAAGTTGTCAGTGGAAAATTGTGTTCCAGATCCTAAAAAATCAGTCCTTGTCTCCATTTGTTTATGTACAACTGTAGGGACAATGGACATCATGCTTGCGACATTTCCTAAAATAATAGTACAAAAGACCATGTTAAGCCAGCAAAAGCAGGAGTCTTCTGGCAGAACTAGATGTTACATGCAATAATGCTCCAGTCGCCACTGTCAGGGAAGGAGGCGCATAATTCTCCCCTTGCCCAATGCTTTTCCTCTCCCATCCACTGCTTTTGGCCTGGATGGGTTCTGGATTCCTGTCTGCCAGGGTGAACGTGTACCTGGAAGCCAGGGCAGGTGCAGTGAACTGTGGAAGGTTTAGCTTCTCCCCACTCCTCCACTCCATATTGCTCCCCATCACCACTTTTCCCCAGAAGCTGCAGCTTTCATGGCTTTGGTAGGTGTATTTATATTAGGGCTGCCAAGCCGCGGCGGGGGATCCGCACGTCTTCACAGGATCCCTGCCGCGGGGGACAGCGATATGCGTTGCACCGCCGTTGCCAGGATGTGACGCTACGCGTCGCTCTGGCAACGGGGCTGTTTGGAGTCCCGTTGCCAGAGCAACACGTAGCGTCACATCCTGGCGACGGCGGTGCAACACGTATCGCTGTCCCCCGCGGCAGGGATCCTGTGAAGACGTGCGGATCCCCCGCCGCGGCTTGGCAGCCCTAATTTATATTTAGCTGGCTCTGGTATAAACAGTGCAGCTTTGAGCTAGGATTTGCAGCATAGTTGTAGATTCATTCTCCCTGCCAACTAGGGGTTCAAGGGTTGCCATCTTCCAGATCAGGCCTGTAATTCTCCCAGAATGACCGCTGATCTCCAAGCTACAGGGATTGGCTAACTCTAAGGCATAACCCCCTGCTGAGTTTCTTTGCCTCCTCAAACTCCACCTTCCCCAGACTCCATCTTCAGGTCTCTTAAGAATTTCCTAATCCAGCGCTGGCAGTACGAAAGTTCATCTGCAAGTTGCAGCGAAGTCCAGCCACAGTCTGCAGAAGGGGCCTTTACCTTTCAAAACTCAGCTGTGTGGTGGTTGTAGAGTTGGGTGCCATCTCTCTCCCCACCAGTGTTAAGGGGTAATTCAGGGCTATTTTTGGGCAGGAACACACAGGAACCGAGCTC